AGGAGATACTGGGCTTGGCAGGGGCCCTAGGAGGTGCAGATGGCACGGCCCACCCTGTCTGTTAGGCTCAAGCTCTGGTTACTGAGCTGAGCTGGCCTGCGGTGGGGTCCATAGGCCAGGCTGGGCTTGGGCACCTCCAGGGCCTTGTGACAGGCCAGAGGCCACTGTTGGGACTCTGAGCTCTCACACATTGGTCTTGCCTTGCAAGTACTGTGAACGAGAGTGTCTCCATTGGGTCAGATGTGGGGCTTTTTGATGTTTGTAACAAGCAACCTGCTTCTTGGGCTGCCATGTGGCTGCCAGCCTGCTGAGCATTGCTGTGACGCCTCAGGAATCCAGCGCGTGTTCTCAGACGTCTGAGTGCTGGGTTTAAGCCACATATTAATAACTTGGCCATCTGTTCAATCTCTTAATAGGAACTGGGAGATAGTTCATATATTTATGTCCATACATTGTGAAACCCATATGAAACGTGACTGATACCAAAATAGCTCAAAGGGTACTTATTCCAAAGGAAATGCAGTCATTTGCATCTGAATGCTCATAGCCACAGTGAGATTTAAAGGATTAAAATGTGCAATTACTACTGCAACTTCGCAGAAATAGTTGGACTTTTGAGATATAAAATCCTTATTACTTCAGCAATTGTAGATGTTGTTTATAACCCCAAAAGCATTTCTGCTTTTTAATTCATGACCTGTTTAGATTTTTGACTGAATCTTCATTCTGTTTCTCTCCATGGGACTCTGTCCTTCATCAGCCAACATGCTCTTTCTTCTTTCCTGTTCTAGAAACCCCCAGCCTTCTTTCCACCCTGCTAGTCCTTGAAGCTGCTGTCCTATCTTTTGTCCTTCTGCCAGACCCTCCTAAATAGCCAATCACCTTTTCTCAGCTTAGCCCCATCAGAGAATTTTATTTATTTTTTGAGGTAGAGTCTCGCTCTGTCACCCAGGCTGGAGTGCAGTGGTGCAGTCTCGGCTCACCGCAACCTCTACCTCCTGGATTCAAGCAATTCTTCTGCCTCAGCCTCCTGAGTCGCTGGGATTACAGGCATGTGTCACCACACCCACCTAATTTTTAGTAGAGATGGGGTTTTGGCATGTTGGCCAGGCTGGTCTCAAACTCATGAACTCAAGTGATCACCCACTTTGGCCTCCCAAAGTGCTGGAATTACAGGTGTGAGCCACCTAAAATTTTCTTTAAAAATAAAAAAATTAGCTGGGTGTGGTGGTATGTGCCTATAGTCCTAGCTACTTGGGAGACTGAGGCAGGAGAGTGACTTGAGCCCAGGAATTTGAAGCAGTGAGCTATGACCACGCTACTGCACTCCAGCCTGGGAGACAGCAAGACCTCAAGTCTAAAAACAAAAACAAAAAAACCCCTCATCCTTGGAAGACTTTGTCTTGCATGTGCCCGCAAGCAAAGGTAGGGGCTCTCTACAGTTGGGAGGAAGGGCCTTAAGCAAGATGCCGACACATGGGAGAACAGGAGAGAAGAAAACAAGGCTAGGGGATTCCCACAGTTCAGAAGCAGAATTTTAGCCCCAGCACTTTGGGATTTTTAGGAATTTATCAGCAAGTAGGAATTGGAACTATCAGAACACACTGTGTCTAAGGAGGGCACCATCTTTGAGAAGGAGAAAGGTCATATATCTGAATGTGTGAGTAGTGGGTGCAAATCTCAGCTCCTAGACCCAAGGGCCTATACATGTGCTTGATTTTTCTGTATTTTAGCTTCTCTTCTGGGCTCATGTTGCGCCATGACAGGAATAGATTCTGCCAATTCAGAAATGGCCCCTTTCCCTGGGTGTGTTCCTACGTCAGGGACTGACCTAGGGCCTTGAGGAAGCCACAGTGGGAGGGCTCGTTTTCAACCTTTTGTGCTGGTGTCTGCGGCCACAGCCTTGTGACGGTGCCACTGTGGTGACCGATCCATGTTCTCCAAGTGCTGGCCTCAGGGGGCTCTTTGGGCTATTTCCACCACATAGGGATGCATTCAGGTGTGCTTGGCTTGCTGAGGTCTCCAGGGTCAGTGAGGACCATTTCAGGCTCAGCTTCCTGACACCACAGGAAGTTATTTCTTCTGCTACCATTGCAGGGAGCCATGCTGTTTCTTGTATAGTTCACTTATAAGCATGTCTGTTGCAAATTCTGGGGTCAGACACTTTGCAGGGCCCTGTCCTCTGATCATGGGATTCTATGATCTCACCCTCTGCCTAGTCTTGGCTTCCAAAGTGGGGTGCACTCAGGGACCCCAACAACACATCTGTGTTCTTTGTCTCCCCATTCTTTGTCCAGATGCCCTTTAATCCCATCTCTGGGGACAGGAAGAACTGGTTCAGACTGATCCTGTATTTCTCATCTTTCTGTGTAGACCAAGACCTCACATTTTGGGACTCTAAGTGGCCAGCGTTTAACTCCTGTTCTCCAGACTTTGGGGTGTCATCTGTTTCCGTGGCATGGGTCAGGGAATGCCAGAGGGAGGCATGGGGATCAGGGGTTTATGAGGAAAACAGGCCTCAGTCACCACTGCAAATGCTGTGGAAAAAAAAAAAAAAAAAAAAAAAAGCATTGAAAGAATGTTTGCTTAAATTTTAGTCGTTGTTTTAGGTGATAGGAAACTCATTAAACAGGAGGAAGAAGTTATAAAAAGTCAGAAGTTAAAAAAAGCTTTTGTAGTTTTTTGCTTTTACTTTTTAAAAAAGTTTTCAATATTGAGAGTGGATTACTTATATAATTCAGGGGAAAAGACTCTGATATGCTTTGGCTCTGTGGCCACACCCAAACCTCATGTCAAATTGTAATCTCTAGGTGTTGAAGGAGGGACCCGGGGGGAGGTGATTGGATCATGGGGTGGACTTCCCTCTTGCTGCTCTCATGATAGTAAGTGCATTCTCCTGAGATCTGGTTGTTTGAAAGTGTGCAGCATTTTCTCTCTCTCTCTCCCCACTGCTTCACCACGGTAAGACATGCTTTCTTCCCCTTCTCCTGCCGCCATGATTGTAAGTTTCTTGAGGCCTCCCAGCCATCCTTCCTGTACAGTCTGTGGAACTATGAGTCAATTAAACCTCTTTTCTTCACAGATTAACCTGTCTTAGGTAATTCTTTATAGCAGTGTGAGAATGGACTCATACAAACTTCAAAAGAATGAATTATGAAAAGGAGATCTACTCTGTTTCATTCTTGGATGTGTCTGTCTTGGATCTCAGTTCAAAATGAGCGGTCAGGTATGCTCATCAAATCTTCTGATAATCTGTATAACAACGATAAAAGTTCCAAGTTAAAGACTTGGATCCTTCATTTTCCTCAGTCCACTCTTGGACATGTACTTATGTCCAATTGCTCAGGAGGCAGTGATGGGCAAGAGAGACAGTTTCTGTCCTTATATTTTGTGGTCAGTGAGTGTCGCAGTCAATCTTCTGTTGCTATAACAGAATATCTAAGATTGGGTAATTTATAGAAGCAGTTTATTTCTTACAGTTCTGGAGGCTGGGAAGTCCAGGGTTGAGGGGCTGCATCTGTGAGAGCCTTCTTGCTGGTGGGGACTCTGCAGAGTCCCAAGGCAGCTCAGGTTATCACATGAAAAGGGAGCTCAGAGTGTTTGCTCAGGTCTGTTCCTCTTTTTATACAGCCACCTGTCCACTCCCATGATAACCCACTAATCCATCGATCCATAAATGATGAATCCATTGATGAGGGCAGTCACCTCTGAAGGCCCCCACCTCCTAATACCATTACACTGGGGTTAAGTTTCAACAAGAGTTTTAAAGGGGACAGACATTCAAGCTATAGCAGTGAGGAACCAACCGGATAGATGTCTGGGTCTGATACCCAGGTCCTAGCTTTGAATGAGCAAAATTGGGGCAGCTGCCCTTACAGATTGTCCATCCTGACAAGGCTGATTTTTGACCAGATCATGACATGGTGGTGGAAAAGTACAGTTGCACCTTCCATATTTGCAAAATTGCCTATTTGCTAAAATTTATTTGTAACCTCCAAATCAATACTGTGAGACAATTTGTGGTCATTTGAGTAGACACACACAGAACAGTGAAAATTCTGAGACCCCCAATATGCATGTTCCCACCTGAGATTGAAGTGGGCCATACTCTGCCCCTTTGTTTCAGCCTTATACATAGAAGGCCTGTGGGTGGACAGGGTTGGGCAGGGTTAAATCCTAACTCTGGCACTTGTTAGTGGGACAGCTTCTGCTGAGTCACTTAATTCTTCTGAACCTCATTTTTTTTCCTTTTGTAAAATAAAGAAAGTAGAATCCACTTGGGTGAGTTGTCTTTAGGATTTAATTTTGACTCTGTGAGATATGTGTTGCTGAATAAATGCACATATTCCCTTGTGGAGCAGAGGTTCAGGGTTTCCTAATTCAGTGTTCATGGTGACTTCTACACGGTCACTACTAGGAATAGTGAGAATCTGCACTACTTGGCTTGGAGGTCTCCAGCCACAGTGGCTCCTGTTGATGGACATCTCTCAGGGTGACAGTTCTGTTCCCTGGGGCCTCTGGGAGGCCGGGAGCTGTGTAGACAGCAGGATGGAGATGTGTTGAGAGGAAGAACCATTGTCCTCAAGGGCAGGCCTGGATAAGGAGGTGTGGAGAGATTTCTGCAGTCAGGGAAGGATGAATCCTTCATTCAGCACTTGGGGAGAATGGGGAGGAAGGTGCCAAGAGAGGGGGTGGGGGCTATTTGGGATCCATGCTTCTGTGGTGTGGAGAGCAGTCCTTGGGGCTAACACATCACTGCGTTGTAGGAGGGAAAAAAATCTAATCATATTTATAACTTCCTCTTCCTTGGGCTCAGTACTGGGTCATTCTTTATTCTTTACTTTTTGTTTTTTATAGACAGGTGCTCCCTCTGTCACCCAGGCTGGAGTGCAGTGGCACAATCATGGCTCACTGTAGTCTCGACCTCCCGAGCTCAAGCAATCCTCCTGCCTCAGCTTCTCAAGTAGCTGGAACTACAGGCACACATCACCACACGTGGTTAAGTTTTAAATATGTTTTGTAGAGAGAGGGTCTTACTATGTTACTCGGGATGGTCTGGAAACCCCAGCCGTATGTGACCCTCCTGCCTCTGCACTGGGGTTATAGGAGTAAGGCGGTGCACCGGGTCTGGCTATTTTTTACACGTGGTTTTGTTTTTCATTTTCAATGGCCATTTTTCCTTGACTTTGGTTGCTTTGGAGCTTAAAAGCACAGTTCTTGGGATGTGGCCACTGCATTTGCGTCATAGCACACAACCGCTCTCCTGATCCTTTCATTGCCAGTGAGACATTTATTTTTGCAAGTCTTCCATCTCAGCTGAGTGGGATGTGAAATAGAACTGCTGGGGTCTGTGACTCTCCTTTCTCTCCTTTCCTGCCAGGGCCACTGCAGAACCTTTGGGCTCAGTCTCGTCACAGATCTTTCTGCAGCTCTGCTGGCTAGAACTGAGGAGGGCAGGCGGTGGTGCAAAGCTTTGCCCCTTTTCTGGTATTATGGGTTGCATTATGTCCCACACCGCACCTACTGTGATTGTGTTTGAAAGAAAGGCCTGTAAAGAGGTAACTAAGGTTACATGAGGTCATAAGAGTGGGTGGGGCCCTAATCCAACAGGAGTGATACCCTTAGAAGAAGAAGAAGAGACACTGGAGCTCTTTCTCTGCAGGCACCTAGAGAAAACGCTATGTGAGGCCACAGTGAGAAGAGAGGCCTCACCATAAACCAGCCCTGCTGGCACCTTGATTCTAGAATTCCAGCCTCCAGAATTATGAGAAAATAATTATCCGTTGTTTCAGCCACCCAGTGCTTGGAATTTCATCAGGTTAGCCTGAGCCCTCTGCTGCATTTAGTAAAGAAGAGTGAGATCGGGGCTCCGTCACTCTTGTGCCCTGGAGCAGGCCTCCCGGGCCACCTCCTCAGCCTCCATGCAGCCGCGCCCACCTCCCAACAGGACTCAGACCTTCCTAGTTACGGGGTTTGAGTGGTCTCAATCCTCAGCAGTGAAAGCCAGTGTGCACATTGAATTCCTTGGGCCGCAGTGATGAATTCAGGAGTGAGCCTATCGGTCCAAGCAGAGGGAAGCCCAAGGCTTTTGTTCAATGGCTGAGGAAAGAGAAGTTCCCTCTCCTTGGATGTAAGTGAGGAAGCCTGGAGTCTGGAAGCTACTGACAGACCTCTCACTACCACGAGGGCTTGAGGACCAGGACAGCATGGTGCGACGGACCCAGTGGCACCCCCAGAGCTGCTGTTCTGAAGAATGCCATGAATATCTGGCCCAAACTGCACAGGACTTTTCACTTCCTTGACAACACATCTCTTTCATTGCTTCCTGGGACCTGCTGCTGAAAGCCTCCTAACTGGAACTCTCCTACCAACGGGTGCCCCCACAGCAGGCACGGTGAGCCTGCAGGAATAGAAGGCTGGTTCCTGGTACTTTGCAGCTGGACTCCTTTTAGTGGCTTTCTGGTCTAGATGGAGTAAAACCTGGGGTGTCTACTGGTATTGGTAGTATGAGGAAGTCAAGAGATTTCCCTTGGCAGAAAGTAAGTAAAAAATGGACAAAATTATTAAAGACAGTCATTTCAGGCCATTGGAAAATGATCAGAGACAAGGCAAAATTTGCAAAGTTTACTCGTGAAACTGCTACAGCATTTGCTAAGAACAGCGATCTGTGGGTTCCCTGCCTGGAGGTATTCTCTGATTTTGGACATCGCAAGAAATATACATGTGGTCTTCATCCCCGGCTCCTGACGCAGACCTACTAAGACTTCTATGATTTCCTGAATAGTAAGGGTGCTAGGAGCCTCTCCTATCCTAGCATTTGGACTTTGATGCCAGCTCCTGACACGCAGTTTCTAAGTCCCTTCGATTTGCCTGGGTGATAGGAGCCTCTTTTGTTCTAATGAGGTGACTCTTGGTGGGCTCCTGGATAGCTTTAGGACTGGGGATGGTCACCAGAAAGACTGAGCCATGATGAGAAGATTTGAACTTTTATCTTCAATCCCCGTCCTTTGGGGAGAAGAGAGGGACTGGAGATTGAGTTAATAGTTGTTCATGCCTGTGTGGTGAAGCTTCCATAAGAATACCTGAAAGACGGGATTTGGAGATCTTCTCAGTTGGTGAACACATGGAGGCGCTGGGATGGTGGTGCACCCATAAAGGGTGCGGGAGCTCTGCGCTGCTCCCGGGCACCTGCCTTCTGCACTTCTTCCATCTGGTCGTTCCTGACTTGTATCTTTTATAATAAACTGGTAAATACAGACAAATGTTTCCTTTTTGTGAGTTTTGTGAACTATTTTTAGCAAATTATCTAAGCCAAGGAAGGGGTTGTGGTCACCCCTGATTGATTGCTGGTTGGTCAGAAGTTTGGGAGGCTCCGACTTGTGACTGACATCTGAAATGGGGACAGTCTTGTGGGACAGAGCCCTTAAGGGATCTATACTAAATCCAGGCCTCCCAAAATTCATGTCTTTCTCACAGGCAAAATGCATTCATTTCATCCCAGCAACCCCAAAAGTCTTAAATAATTCCAGCCTTAACTCAAAAGTCTTAAGTCCAAAGTCTCATCTACATATCCTCTAAATCAGATGTGGTGAGACTCAGTAGGATTCATCTTGAAGCACATGTGAGCCTATGAAAATAAGCAGGTTATGTGCTCCCAAATACAATCGCGGGGCAGGCATAGGGCAGACATTCTCATTCCGAAAGGGAGAAGAAAGAGGTAACAAGTCCTAAGAAAGTCCAAAACCTAACAAGGCAAACAGTAAGTAGAAAATTGAATTCATGAAGAAATAGAAATATGAATAGTCCTATACATGAAAAGAATTGAATTTGTATTTAAAAACCTTCCCATAAAGAAAAGTCACTCACTCACTTCTGCTCCACACAGTCACTCAGGGTCTCAGCTTCTTCCATGTTTTAGCTCTTGCCTCTTGCAGGTCTTCAGAGTTTTTTCTCTGCAGATGGGGAAAGAGCAAACATAGAAGATTGTGCAAGAATCTTTATGGTTATTTTGCTGTTCATTAAATCACCCCAAACTTGGTGGCTTAAAACAGTAAATATTTAACGTTTCTCACAATTCTGTGGACTTCGTGGGTGATTACCCTGGTCGGGCTGGCTGAACTGAGGCTGGCTGGTCTAGGATGAATCTGCTCACTTATGCAGGGCTTCAGCAGGGATGGCTGGGCCTCTGTCCCTGTGCTGCCTCCTCCAGAATGCCAGCCTCCACTTGCCCACATGGAGGAGAGGAATTCCAGCCACAAGAGAGGGCAAGCCCAAAGGAAAAAACTGGAAAAAATTTTCAACTTATGCTTCTAACACAGTTATTATTGTCCCATTGGCTAAAACAAATCACACGGTTAAACCAGAAAGTGTGTGGGAGGAAACAGGAAGAGGAATTATGGAAGCCCTTTTGCAAACAACCTGCCAGTGGCCCAGGCTGGGCAACAGTGTACCTCACTTCCTCCCTCATTCCATTGGCCAAACATAGACACGTGCTCCCCCAGTGCAAAGGAGGATGGGAAGCACAGGCTTGTTCTATGCCCAGGAGGAAAAGACAGTGGGAGCTGATGGGCTTGACAGTTTCTACCCCACTGGTAATTCTAAATAGTTTTTTTTGTTGTTGTTGTTATTGTTTCCTGCCACATCCCACAGTGGAAATTTTAGGCTCTACCTAGGATTTTAGAGTCCCCAGCTCTATCTGATTGCTTATTGTCCTCTCCGTCCAGCAAACTGAATAAAACACCTCTTCCCCAAATGATGGAAACAGTGCATCTGACTGCTTTCTCCTGATTGGGGGAATCTTCTCCAGTGCATTTCTTCTGGGCTGCTGTTCTTGGTGCTTGAGGAGACCCTTTGGGCACTACGTGTGGTGTCTACTGACAGCACCTGGTTCTCAGCATCTTGATGACCCTGCATTCACGAAGAACAGCTCTCTCAGTGCTACCTCGCGTGCTTATCTGAACCCTACAGCCACATTCCTGGGCTTTCTCTGGTGCATCTGGAAGTTCCATTTCTTAAGCTTTTGGTGCTGGCCACTAAAATGCAAGCATTTTATAAAGAAATCTAACCAGAGGGAAGCACTGCTCAGGGCCACTCCTGTTTCTTTAGGCCCTTGGTGTGCTTTCCCTGCTGCCGAGGAAGAACCTTGCCGCTTCTGCATGACTTACTGCTCTGTCCCTGGGCACAGGGAGGAGGAAGCAAATTGCCTTCAGGGGGCCTGGGCTGACAGACCACAAGCAAGGCTTGGTGCTTTTACAGATCTCTTCTTAAGTTACCTCCAGGAGGTTAGGATCAGAAGCCAGCGTGACCTCTTCTATTCCTAGGTCCGCAGCAAACTGATCTCCTCTTCCCTACTATCAAAAAACATGTGCTATCTAAAAACTTGTTATGGGCTGAGTTGTGCTCCTCTCCCCACAAAAAATTCCTGTGTTGAAGTTTTGACTCCTAGTAGCTGAAACTGTAACAATATTTGCAGATACATCTATAAAAGGTGCTTAAGTTCAAATGAGCCTGTTGGGGTGGGCCCTCACCCGGCATGACTGGGGTCCTTGTAAGAAGAGGAAGAGATACAGAGGGATGATCATGGAAAGAGCCAGCAAGGGTGTGGTCATCTGCCAGCCAACATGTCACACTTCTGCAAAGAATTAGCTAGCCTGGTGCAGTGGCTCACACCTATAATCCCAGCACTTTAGGAGGCCGAGGTGGGAGAATCATGAGGTTAGGAGTTCAAGACCAGCCTGGCCAACATGGTGAAACCCCGTCTCTACTAAAGATATAAAAAATTAGCCAGGCATAGGGGCGAGCGTCTATAATCCCAGCTACTCAGGAGGCTGAGGCAGGAGAATCGCTTGAACCCAGAGGGCAGAGGTTGCAGTGAACTGAGATCAACCTGGAAGCTCTGAGGTGTCCATGCTGCTTTCCTGAGGGTTCTGGATGTGAAGCATGAGCATTTTTTTGTATATCCAGGCAGGTAGAAGGAGACAAAGTCACCTATAGCGTAATAGTATACAGCCACGTTGCAAGCAGAAAACCGTAAACCAGCTCATCCAGCCCCGTGGTATTGCAGGTCCTCTAGATGAAGGACTGTACCCCTCTACCTGGGGCCACCTGCTGTGTGATTTGGGCTCACAAATGATACGGGGTTCTGCAGCTGGTGGCCACAGGCTGTGGTGACATCTGACCGTGGGTACGCGTGGGAGGCTTTGATGCCAGTGACTTGCAAGTAGCGCTCAAACCCTGTTTTGTTTTTTTTTGACCTCAGGTTTCCTACTTATAAAGTGGGAATAGAAGTAGGTCATGCAGTGGCCTGATTTGCAGATTACATGTGAAGTCATTCTGCATTTCAGTCAGTTTATACATTCTTTGCTAGAAGTTTTACGGTACATCTTTTTAAAAAGACTTAAAAAATAGAGAGTTTAATTCTAACTTTACTAGAAAAGTCTATTTTCTGGTGCTTTTGTGAGATAGATCATCTTAATTAGGCATAGCCAGAAGAGCAGTACTTCCGGGGACCCCAGCGGAGAGAGTTTAGGATTTAGAGACCGGAGGCCTTAGGTACAAAACAGATTCTGCTCTTTCACAAAGCACAAAATCTTTTAGCCATCTTGCAGAGAAGAATGTGGCTTGAGGCAGGAATCTCCAGTGTCCCACCCTTCCCAAGTCCCGCTTGCAGAAAAGAGCACAGATAATAAATAATATGACTTGGATGGGCACAGTGGCTCACGCCTGTAATCCCAGCACTTTGGGAGACCAAGGTGGGTGGATCATCTGAGGTTGGGGGTTTGAGACCAGCCTGACCAACATGGAGAAACCCTGTCTCTACTAAAAATACAAAAAATTAGCTGAGCATGGTGGCCCATGCCTGTGATCCTGGCTGCTTGGGAGGCTGAGGCAGGAGAATCGCTTGAGCCAGGGAGGCAGAGGTTGCAGTGAGCTGAGATTGTGCCACTGCACTCCAGCCTGGGCAATAAAATGAGACCCCGTCTCAAAAAAAAAAAAAAAAAAAAAAAAGTATTTTGAGGCTGGGCACAGTGGCTCACACCTGTAATCCCAGCACTTTGGGAGGCCAAGGTGGGCAGATCACCTGAGATGGTGAGTTTGAGACCAGCCTGGCCACATGGAGAAACCCCATCTCTTTAAAAACAACAACAAAAAAACGTCACTGTAAATGTTTTGAACAGCAGACTTTGTTACTGCAAAAATGAACAGGTCAGTTATATGGGCTGGGAGGAACTTTAACTCCCTTGCACATTTGCAGTTCACTTATTCCTGGGGAGCAGTGAAAAAGCTGGGATGGAAGTGAGGCTTTCTTCACCACATCGGTGGCCCACATTTTCCCAAGTCCTACGTGAACTCCAACATGAATCCCTGAGGACAATTTTCTTAAATCAGATTTCCCCTTACTTAGCATTGGTATTGGATATTCCATGTTTCCTACGGGGATGCAAATGTTCAAGCGTTGCAAAATACAGAAGTCGTTTACTGCTGCAGAATGTCCAATCAAGCAGTTGCACTGAGGGAAGCGTCAAGTGAATATCGGACACAAGGGGGCAGTATTGCTCAACACAGATCCTTTGCGGCTGCTGGGGAAGTTGGAGTTTATAAACTACTCTCTTCTAAATATTTAAAGGCATAAATAATACTCTTTGCTCCTTTTTGCACAAAAACCCTTAAGCAATTAAAAACATATCAAAGAAATCTGTATGCATCAGCTTTTTAATGTGTTTATTGATTTTTGTTAAGTAAATATTTTTAAGGATTTTTTTTTTCCCTCCCAGTTTTAATGGGACTGGCTGATTATTAGCAAAAATCAAACACTGCTTCTTTTCCTGGAAGCTGCTGTTCTTTATCAGCAGTGCTGGGGCATTCCGCCCTGGAGATCTGAATATTCTTAAGATTCAGGAGGTTTTGTTCTCCAAGGAGAAATGGATCTGTGGGGAACCTATCTAATCAGGATCTCAAAATTGTCACTTCTGTTTCTTCTGAGTGGAAATTGTCACTACTTAAAGGGACCACTGGGTGCCCTCAGATCACACTGCCGGTTGTTCACGTCCACACTGGTGTGGTCCACATTGAGGCCTCACTGTTCTGGGCGCTGCCTCATCCTCCTCGCATTGCTCTGAGCCAGCCTCCTGCTGTGCTGCTTTGTTTATTAAAACCACAATCCCGAGGATTTCTCCTTTTTTTTTTTTTTTTTTTTGAGACTGAGTCTTGCTGTGTCACCCGGCTGAAGGGCAGTGGCACAATCTCGGCTCAGTGCAACCTCCGTC